ATATGTTGGGCTATTTGCCCCTACACTAAATGGCCCTAGAAAACCATTCCTTTTGAATTCTAAGACCTCTTTATTTACTTTTACTTTTTTTCTCTTCTTTCAACCAAAAGATCACATCCTTTACGTAGCCTTACCTAGCACTCCCAGGTAGATTTAGTCTTTCTCTGTATTTTTATTTTTATTTTTTTTTGGCAGCTAGCTGGTATGGGGATCTGAACCTATGACCTTGGTGTTATACGGCTATGCAGTAACCAACTGAGCTAACCAGCCAGCCCCCTCCTCTGTATTGTTTTGTTTTGTTTTGTTCATACCTCCATCCTAGCAATTATCACATTGTATTGTATTTTGGGGTTACATTCCTGTTGTATTCATCTTAACTATAAATTATTTGAGTACTCATTTTATTTATCTCTGCATTCCAAGTGTGTTTATCACATTTTGACTCCTAATAAATGTCCAAAAAGTACTTGGTAAACAGTTTCTGATCTTCCTTGAGCTGGGTAATCAGGTCATCACCCTTGTTATAACTGTATGTAACGTAAGAACACATTATCATATTAGCTGAGTGAGAATGAAGAATTCTTTTAAAGAAAGCTTTTGGCTTCTTGCTCTTTTGTGGTTTCTTCTAAGCTTTTGGAGATATTTAGGGGAACAGAGTTGGCTATATGACAATAGTAATCTATATATCCTCCTCTGTTTTTTCATATTTCCCATGGCATATGTCTAAGAAATAAGATTTCACAGTCTACTTCCTGTTCTTGTAGGATCAGAATCCTACAAGGAAACTTCACAGTTGAAAGGACTTTTAGACCAAGGTAGGCATTCAAAGGCAGCCTCTGTTCTTAGAGAAAATACATATGCAAAACTGAATAGCCTATTTCCTGTTTCAGATCATGAACAGACTAAGATCAGTGATTTTTTTCCATTCTTCTTTATATAGACTCCAGGGGAAAAAAATGAACAAGTGAACATTAAATATATTCACATTTTAAGATTGTGCATTTATTAAAATCCAATTTCTATTCAAGGTTAGGTTTTCTAATTTCAAGGGATGGGTATAGTGCCTGGATAGTGCCTTTTTTTTTTTTTTCTTTTTTTGTCTCTTTTTCGTGACCGGTAACGGGATCACAACCCTCAGTGTCGCGCCCGTACCGCGACCAGCAACGGGATCGCAACCCTGGGTGTTGCGCCCGCACCGCACTCAGCCAGTGAGCGGACCGGTCTCTATATGGGATCCGAACCCACGGCGGGAGCGCCACTGCGCTCCCAAGCGCCGCACTCTACCGAGTGCGCCACCAGGCCGGCCCTGTATAGTGCCTTTTTAAGTATAGTCTGAATCTAGAGCAACATGTTATTATTTCAGCTACTTTGCAGGGGTCAAATCAACAAACTTTGCCTGAGATGGATGTTTAGCATAGACCTTTGTAACACTCCTTACTTGTCTAAAAAGAAGCAACCCTTTTTTGCATTTTTGAGCTCAACTCTGGATTCTTTACAAATATCTTAAGCAAAGACTGCAAATCTAGTAACTGTAGTAACTCTGAAAGAAAAGCAGTGAACTAAAACTGTAGCAAAGAGGAAACTATGTCCCCTTTAACTGAGATCTTCCAGGAAAAAATGCCAGAGGCCTCAAATCTGGTTTTCATTAACAAACAAGCAAGAAAAAAAAAAAAAGCATAATGAGAGATCAAACAAAAAACCTCCAACAGCCAAGACAGAGGTTTGGGGAAACAAAAGTTACCCCAATGGAGAAACTTCTAAAATACATGCAATTTTCTCGCATTTGATTGCTTGGTTAAGTGAAGTACATGGATATGTAAGTCTTTGCTTGATTATTATAAAAGACTGTCTAAGTATAAATAAGCTGTGATCTTTTAACTCAGTTTATTTTCCATTTATAACAAATAATACCAAGAAAATCTGGGTTCAGAATACTAAAGAAAAACCAAAAACCCTCATTAAAAACATTCCAAATTAACTGCAGTGGGAGTTTTAAAGATCGATTAATTCAACAAATCTCAACAAAGAGCTTTTCTGTTAAACTTATTTTTGTATATTTTTAAATCTACATGATATTCAGATAGCATCCTTATGTAAATAAAGTATGACTTTATAGAACAACAATGCTAATTTCTTAGTTTTGCTAACTATACCATGGATGTGTAAGATGTTAACTTTGGAGAAAACTGGGTGAAGGGTACATGGGAATAGTCTATGAATTTTGCAACTCTTCTTTAAATCTAAAATTATTTTAAAACAAAAAGGCAAAATAACACAAATGGATTAGCTGTTTGGTGCTAGAAGTGATCTTGCTTTTTACAGACAGCAGGGCTCCACGATTAGCTTCAAGCCACATGTAGGTTTGCAGTGGGCTTCCACCGAGGAGTGGCCTGCTTCTGCTTAGCCTGAACAGTTCCCTCATTCCCACCTGCTGGTACAAGTCCAAGGATCCCACTCAAATTACTCCACTTTCTTAAGTGTAGAAGACACACCAGCATGAATGTGGCCAAGTAAGACTGATCCAGTGCTAACGTCAGAGGCCAGATGACTTAGTCACCAAGTTAATTACCTATTTACTCAATATCCAAGGTCAATACCAATCAATAGCATGTTGAAAAATGTGACACCCTTAAAAGACAAATGTGGAACATTCACAGACACATTGGTTTGGACTAATCTACTGACCACAATTGGCTATCTTTTCAATTGTTCACAGACTCTCCTACAAAATGCCATTTAAAAAAAAAATTCCAGAAGGATGAGGGACAAGGTTGCAGACTCAGTCCAGGCTATCACCTGGATTGCCCAGTTTGAACAACAGGGGCAAACAAAAGAACAGTTTTGAATTATGTACGAAAATATTCTCACGCTTCCTATAAGACAATTTTTTCCTAGCTTCTGTGGAATACGCCCATAACTGTAGAATAAGTGATGGAGATGCAGCGACTACCTAAAGTCTTCATTTGCCTTGTTGCTCTAGACTTAGAAGATTTGCCTGGGAACTTTAGAGGTTTAATTTTTTTAAAGCAGGTTCCAGGATTTCCCACAGGTTGTGTACAGAGACTATGTCTATAGCACTGTATGAGCAAAATCTCGGTTCTGTGTTCTTCAGGATATAGGTATCTAAAGTGGGCTAATGCATGCAGAGTTGTCTTTTTATTTGGTTGGGTTTGTTTTTAACTACAGAAGATTTATTTTACTGCTTAAAGCCAAGTGAGCCTAAATTCTTTCCTCCTATATTTCCCAAGTCTTCCAGGTAATGGAGAGCTTATTCCACAGGAAAAAAATCTGTGCTGTATTTAGAATTCAGCTTGTTTTATACAGCTTTTGAGCTGATCAGCACTCATTACTGGCTAGTTCTGTAAGAAACCTGCTCCTAGGGAGGAACATGAAAAGAAAGGGAACTAGGCTATCCATTAGCTTGTCTCGAAAGGGCTCTTACATCACAGACGTGTGGGTTCATTGCACACTCGGAGAATAAGCTCTCTGTCATAGAGTCCTAAAACTGCAGCTTTCCTTGGGTGGATTTGCTTAAAAGAGTCCAACTTCAGAACATTATATGAAACACAGGATCTAGTTGACAGAGTCAGGTAACTTCTGGCATATGGAAGCGGTACTGAAAACAGTTATGCTAGTAGAAAATAAAACCCTGTGGTGTGGTGTGTAACCTCAGAAATATGGCCCACTGTATGTGCAGTTTTGCTCTGAAAAGGTTTACATTCCCCACCAATTATTGTCTTCTTTTGGCGCAATTTCTTTCCCTATATTCATAAAGACTTACAGGCTTTGCAAAAAATGCTATGGGTTTTGTAATGAGGTGATGTATTTTCCACTTACTGAGAATGTGTTTCTGTTAAGGGAAACACAAGCTCCAACATGGCAATTCTGTTTGAGCAAAGCATAGGTCTTGAGACTGCATCGTCAAAGAAGAGATGTGACTTGTGCAATGCAAACACACTTACTTTTGGCTGATGTCTATTATGAAATGGTTATTCAATGCTATTTATGGTCATTTGGTGATTTATGATTGGTTTTAGGTTAAAAAAAAAAAAACCCTACCAGAAATGAAGAAAGCAAGTATTCACTGAATTCTTCATAGTTATAATTATACAACAGAAATAACAGTTATATTTGTATCAACATTACTATTTTTTATGTATTTCTTTTGGGGTATTGTTTGGTGATTTATGATTGGTTTTAGGTTAAAAAAAAAAAACCCTACCAGAAATGAAGAAAGCCAGTATTCACTGAATTCTTCATAGTTATAATTATACAATAGAAATAACAGTTATATTTGTATCAACATTACTATTTTTTATGTATTTCTTTTGGGGTATTGGGAGATGGTCCTTTAGCGGCTGGACCGGAGTGGTTATCAGACAATATCTCTATGTCTCTCTGTGTGTCTATCTATCTACTCATCTACATATCTGTTGTTCTTTTATGTTTTCCATAGTTGGTGGTGGTGAGTACACAGCATCTCAGAGCCATCCTCTGCTAAACAAGTATGCTTATGGATATTTGAAGTTAAACACCAGTACATGGAATATCCACAGAAGGTAGTTCTAGCACCTAGCACCATACCACTCCAAGTAATGGAGAGCTTGTTACATAGAAAAACATCTGTACTGTATTTAGACTTCGGCTTCTTTTAAACAGCACTTTTCTTTGGGCTGATTAGCACCAATTACTGACTAGTTTTCTAACTGGATATATTTTTGGTACCACAAAATACAGCAGGATACAAACATTGCAAATGAATGAAACTAAATCTCACAGATACAAAGTTGTCAACCTCTTACCCCAGACCCTCAATTTTCTTAAGTTCTCAGAGAAATTTTTCTTTTGGTTGTAGCTTATTTTCTGGCCTTCTCCAATCTTTCCCAACTTATGTATTCATGTTGTGGCACTGTTATTATTTATTCAAAATGAATCATTAGCCAGTTGTGCAGAGAAAGGAAATAGCCACTAATCAATGCAAACCAAAGTCAGAAGTTTACCTTAGTTCCTTGAAGGGGTCTGCCCTGACATTAGGTGTTTCTATAGATTTAGGGAACACTGTGCCCTCTGCTCCTGTAAACAAAAGACAAAAGCAAACAGAGGTTGGAGATGTTGCAGGAGTCACCTGGGGGCACAATCAACACACTGACTGGAGCTAAATGCAGTGAATCCATTACACAATCCAATACACACATTTTGCCACTGGCTTTAGGGCTCCTGATAGGAGAGCATTAAATCAACTCATGCAAACAGCCTTTGAAAAAACAAGGAACATCTTTTGAAAGTGTTCTTGCTGAGATCAGAGGGAAGCCATGGGGCAAATTCCATCTTGGCTTCCAAAAAAAAAAAAAAAAAAAAAAACCC